ATTTTGTTTTTCAAAAAGCTTATTTATCAAATGCAGTAATTTTTTTTCTTTCTACATTTTTTGTATTCATTTCAAAATTCAATATTCTGATCATTTTATAGATCTGAAGATCACAGTACTGAATAAATAACTATTTGAAATATTAATTGTCTTTTTATAACTGAAATATGTAAACAAAATTAGTTTCTACGATATTTCAATTATCTGCACATCATATAAAATATTTGATTGGACAGCTATTATGCTGTCTTTGATGCATTTTAAAAATTCTTTCACTCTCAGATAATACCGAATGGGCTATAGAACTTATACATCACTGAAATTTGACTGTCTAATGCATCATTCCATTTCCTTGAAAAATGAATTTGGTTGTTTATATCAAAAAACCAGTTCATAACATCCATATTTCCAAGATAAACAGTCTTTTCTAACTTTCTGTCCGACAAGCTCAGTTCTGTTTTCCCCTTTCCGACTAAGTTATAGTTAAGAGTGAATCGTTTCAGAGTCTAGAGTGTACTTTTTGAAGTATCACCGCAAAAGTTTTCGCATGAGATAAGTTTTAAGCCTCCATATATTTCACTCCCTACTGCAACACCCACTGCATGAAAGCGAGAGAACTCGTGAACAGTAAAAAACAAAATGAAGAGCTGAAAGTTCGACTTATTATATACTGCAATGTTGATGGAAAATACGATTGAGCCCAATGCGTTATATTTCTATATTAACATTTCCCGATAGACATTCTTTCTAATCTCACCAAAATATTCTTATTGCTGTTAACAACCCGAGTGCTTATACAAAGCCCTATATAATCTATATTCTTGCTAACTTCATTTTCTGATTTCTTCCGTAGGTGACCAAAATGTGGACTTACTTGATTTGAAATCTGTCACCATTATTTTTCTATTTTCATTCACATTGTTCAGATATTCTTGACATTTCACTGATTCTTCATCCCTACTGAGGTCACAATATTCTATTACTTCACATATTAGTGTTCTTTATTGGATATTTCTCTATATTTTAAGAAACTTTCCAAACAATATGTTCAACCTCCCAACAAAACATAATTTCTGTTTACTGTAGTTAATATTTTACTTTCAGGCTGTTTATTTTCTGTGATAATTATAAAATGACTCTGAATTGTATGAAGTACCATTTATGTATATGTATCTATGAAATATTTTATACTGACACAAAACATACAGCTGAGCACGTTTCACATAATGAAAAGTTATAACGTGCTTGCTGGTTAGATTTTTATAATACTGGCAACAATACATGTCCAACGCACACTGAACACTGATCGTCTGTCCGACGAGAGAGAAGTAGCCTGCCTTCCGTTGACGTATGCGTTAGAGAAAAGAAAGCCAAACAAACTGGCGCCGTTACGCGTTAGGTAACAAAGCGGTTCACCCTCCAATGAGAAATTATCACTTCAAAAGTAATTATAATTCAGCTGAAAACTGAACAGAACATTTATTGATTTTGGAGCAGTACAATGTTTACCGCTTCCAATTTTTCATTTATTCAATAGTGGTAATCCAATACAGGATCATCAGACGATAGTTCTGACATGAAGATAGGAAAATATTATATATCAAGAATTCGTCATTCAGTAACAAAATCAAAGTACCCCCAAGTTCAAATAGGGATTTCAACGTAAGATTTTCAGTATAAGTGTTTAGAAATACAAGTTTTTCATCAGTTCAACTCTTTGAAAGGCCAGGTTCAATCTATAAATCACTGAGTTTCAGTGGGAACAGCTGATTCAAATTGGAATTATATAATAATTCATTTCACTTAAGATTTCCTGGTGAAAAAATATGGAACAGGTCCAATGTTTTACATAGGTCAATCTGAATGAAAATTGAGAGCATGCATGAAAGAACATAGAAGCAGCTTCCTGAATTCAAAAATGAATTTATCTCCTAAGAAACGGACATGAGCGCAGTCATGAATTCAAACCTCCTCAATTCCAGAGGGAAGTTTTTGAACCCAACCTTCGGTGGAGTATATAATTCTATAAGTCAGAAAATCCACAACATTTCATGAACGATCAAATTGATTCAAATAATAATAATAATAATTCATTGAATCCTCCATGATCACAAGTTGATATAGGATACGTCGATATTATACATACATAAAAATCTTTACAAAACGTGAAATTCAACAGAAAAATACATGAAAGTTTCACACAAACACAAGGAAGGAAAAAAAAAGAATGAAGTATATTCAATATTTATACAATACACTCTCATCGACTTAGATATTCAGCGACATTGTAAAAAGAACTAGACATAATCAAAAAACTCGTTTAAAGCACTTTCGGTCGACTTACCCTGCCAAAAACCGTGTTGAAACCTGGTTATTATGTTGAACTTGTCCAGAAAATTAAACATCTTATCATACACACATTTCTCAAACACCTTACAAAATACCGTGGGTACTGTTATGGGTCGGTAGTTTTCCATGATGCTGGACCCTCCATTTTTTTAAATAATTCACCTCTGCTCAATATTTTCTCACACGTGTCGCAGTTTTTGTAAAACCCTCATAGTGATTATCTAGCAGTAAAATTTGTTTGATTTTGCTAATTTGAATTTTTATCAAGAATCGGCCAGTTCTAATACAAAATCTTCATTCCACACTAATTTGAAAGAAGTTTGAATTAACAGCGGTTGAACTCTAAGCTGGTGAAACGACGATCTTGTATTATAATATGCACACCGGCAGTTTTTCAGTTATATTTATTCACTCAACATTCAAACTGTGTAGAATTAAATTACAAACATTGAAAATATTTTTGATTGCTAATTTTGTCATGAAGTTAGATGATAATACTCTTGTTCGGAATTATCTCCAAAACTGATCTATTTTTTGATGATTCCATATGTAGGTGAGAGAAAATATAGTATTCTACTCGATGAAAATGAGCATCGTTGGCTCTGATGATTTACAACGATAGTCTTCGGCTTGCGCCAAGAAACTATTGATGGTCACATTTCTTGCTCGTTGAGTTAAATCCTAACATTTCACTAGATTCAATCCATTATGTGAATCCTCCAACAATCCAGCCATTCGCAAAAACATGTTTCAGATTGGTCCAATGATCCCACATCGTCTGAACAGTATCGAAAGGTTCACCGAAAGAGACTTTTTTCATTCCTGAACTACAAAAAAGATCAACTCCATTGTCACCTGAGAATCGTCAATCCATCAAATCTTCCCAATTAGGCGGGAATCACTCCAAAAGCGAGGCTTTGCAGCATTTTACGAGTACGATTTAGTTCGAGTTTGAATTTCTGCAGCCTGCATCTACAGGATTATGGCAGAGAGACAACGAATTGACGTTGTTGAGATATTTTTCTCTGCGAAATTGAGTTTTACTTTATTGGAAGGCTCATTCTTCCTCTTTGAAGATGATCACTATTTCTCTAAAGAGATAGAGAAACAGATAAATTTCTTAGACCCGGCCATTAAACACAATCAGAATAAATTTGATTTCAATGTTTTCAAAAAACCTAGTTACACAGACATCACCATCCCAAGCCATTCTTTCCATCCAGACAGTCATGAATTAGCAGCCTACAATTCAATGTTGCACAGAGCATTCTCACTGCCTTTGTGTGCAGACAATCTATCTAGGGAAATTGATATAATTACACAGATAGGTCATGATAACGGTTTCAACGCAGATACTATCCAGAAGTTAGTCAGGAAACAAAACAGGAAATTCACTTACAGATTAATATACCCTCAGATCAAACAACCAGAAATCAAGAAATGGGTAACGCTAACATATTTTGGAAAAATAACAGAAATAATCGCAGGTTTCTTCATAAAAAACAAAGTGGAAGTAGCATTCAGACCACATGCCAGGTTGTCTCATTTCCTTTTCAATGCCAAAGATAAGGTCGACAAGTTGGAAAAGTTATAAGCTTGAGTGTCCGGAGTGTAATAGTGTTTATGTGGGACAATGTGGCCGAAATTTCCAAAAACGGTATGCTGAACATGAAAGGTCCTTCAGACTAGGAACAAATTATTCGACGTTTTCAAACCATTCTTTGGTATGTAACCAAAGTTTCCGAATCTAAACGATACGGAAATTCTGCACTATGCAAGGAACGGTTGCAAACTCAATTATTCAGAATCCTTGGAAATTCACAAGCATAAACATTGAGGGTGCAACCTGTTAAATGATCCAATCGATTTAATTTACTCTTCGGTTTTTAAATTGACACATCCGCATTGTGAACTGTAAATTCAGGTACTCAATCAAGTCGCGTACCTACAGGGGTGGTATATAATGACGAATGTGATGAATCATCAGTTTATTGTATAAGATTTGAAATGTCCGTATAGGACGCAACTGCAGTAACGTTGGTTACAAATGAAAGTGGTAAGAAACATAGAAGTTTTTATTTTTTATTCAGTATGTCATAAACATTTTCCTTTCAATATCTGTAAAATAAGAACCCATCACTATGAATTGTTAAACACAATGACTTTCATCAGGAACTATTGCGAATAATTTTTGTATTTCTACATGTTTCTTCTACACAGATCTATACACTATTTTCCTCTTTATTCTGTTCAAAATAATGATTTATCACTCTCTTTCTTGGGAACCCGATCAACCCGTATAATCAAATGGTATAATGAATACTCACCAATTTCGAGGTATTTTTGATGAACAGAATCATATTCATCCCACACAATGGACCTGAACCTATTTCTCTCCCTGGAAGCGGCAAGAACAGGTTCCTGCTTGTGATGTTCATTTGGATTCCTGAAACAGATATATTCAGTGAATTAAATTCATTCAGATCGATAAAATTCGCCTTCAACAATTCATCATCCTATCATCTTCCAATCAGAATCTGAGAGAGTGAATTTCTTGGAGAATAAATATTCAACATCGACTATTTATATGAATCCAGGCCTCCCAGTTGACGGGACGACGGGTATGTCTATCAAATTTCGAAATTATACTGGAAATAACTGTGAAACATTCTAAAGGGGATCGTGAATGTGTCGAAGACCATTAGAGATTTTTTCTTCGTTCCATATATTCCAGCGGTGTGCAGATAGTTCAATGTCAAGTACATCAAAAAGCAAGCAAAGTATACACCAGCTTAGTAGATATAAATAGTAAGAAAAAAAATTTGTCCCAGCGTAAATTTATATTTTTGGATAATTGAAATAAATCAATAATTTGTTAATTGCACCATCCAATATATGATGCATATACGTGACAGTTTTCATAATAGATTTATGTCCATTGAAATGACGACTATAAAATTGTTATTAAAATTATTATTAATCGTTATGAAAAAACAAAAAGATGATGAGTTGACTATTTCAAAAGGAAATTGAATTTGAATGAAAGAGAGACTTAACTACTTTATTTCTGATAGCAAATGGAAAGTTCAAATCAACTTCTTGTTCTAAATTCATCACTGATGGAAAAGATATATGCTATGAAAGTTATTAAATACATGTCATTCATAAGAAACTGCCTCAAATTCTTTCAAAGTCGCACATATTCGTCAATTCTTCAATGTACTGATCAAAGTACCGTTTTCCGTATTTATGACCACACTACTTCCACATCTAAAATTTCTTTTCAGATCCTTTGAAATTTTTTTGGATATCGGATCGAAAATCAACAAAGTTTTTACAGATGATTTTCATGTTGAACATCAAAGAGAGTATAAGGTTAGCTAGGAAGCCTCTAGAAGCTAAGCTAAGAAGCCTCTAGAAACACCAAAAGTTCACCAGTTTCCTTGTAGCTGCAGATCAGTCTATATTGAAACCACGGAAGCATGTAGATATAAGTATCCTCTGAACAATAGAAAAAGTGTCACCAGACAAACAGCCCCGAACGTGTTCTAAAAAAAGGCATTCGTATTATCTCGTTAGAAAAAACACAAATATTTGACGGACTGAATAGAAAGTTAATATTCTTTGATGGTCGCTTTCCACCATTCATTGACTAAAATCTAGGTATAACCTGTAAAATAGAAGATGATAAAAAAAGATAGAGAAGTAAAATGGTGAAAAGTTCATCATGTTATCGATTTTGAAAAAGATATAATTTCAATCTGATTATCAACTGAGAGGGTGACAGTTTTTTCAAAGGTCAGGAATATCATTGAATACTTCAGCTATATGGAAACTGAAAGAGCGTTTGAATAAATGGGTTGTGAAAATGGATGGAAAAGAGTCTTCGAACCTTATGTTGATATCATGAACATCGTTTCGAAACGTCACTTTTCTATGTAGGTACGAAGAAGTTTTATTTGAGAATCTCATGATATAGAGGCAGGCAGCATGTAGTTTTATCCTGTTCTCCATATTTCGCCATCTAACCTCCTTGAGCTTGTGAGATATTCTGTTTATCCTTCTTATTCGATATATAAGTCTCAAACAAGAAATCTAGACTTTCTGAATTTTTTATTTATAGTTACTTGTTAGATTCGGCCCATACAGAGTAACTGCAAAATTCAATGGTGCTAGTACTAAGCTCTCACACAACATGTTTCAATTATATTGATAGGCATTGCCTATTACCATATATCAGTTTGAGGAAAGCATAGGCTATTTGAATGAGTTTGCTGGTGTGCTTTCCAAACCTCATATGAAAATCAAATGAAACGCCAAGGTTTCAGGCTTCATCAAGAACATGACGTGTATCTACATTTATGTGAATTTCAACTGATTTTTGACCCGAAAATGATAACTTCAGATTTTTCTGTGTTAATAAAAAGCTAGTGTGACGTTGTTAGTTCAATAAAGTGTCTAATATCAGAGTCTATGATTCCGCAGGTTTCTTTGACATTTTCTGGATAAATACTGTGATGAAATTGAGTGTCGTCCACATGAAGATTTACATTTAATGTTTCAAGGGTTCTTAGTGAGGTTGACGAGTAAATAGTAAAGAGCAATGGACTCAAAATTGATCCTTGTGGTACTCCTGACTTTTCCTGAAGGCGCCAACTCGGTTGGTGGTGCATCGATAAAGTGTTGCTAATCTGGTGTTTGCGAAATGTACTTGTTTCGGACTCAACCACTATGGAATTCATGAAGAAACGGTTATACTGATTACTCATCAGTATCTCAGGAATACACTGTCATTAAAGGATACAATTTCCATATATTTGTACTGATTAGATAACTTGACATAGATCAAATGTTTACTCATGAAACTGAACAGTCTCTGTTATGCTGGAGTGCGAGTGGAAATATCTTCATACGTTCCAAAACCAGAATGTACTTCGTTATGTTCCATTAGGAATTATTCAATTTGGGTTTATTTGATTTGGATTCTAGTTGAGTTCAGCAATCATAATGTTTATTTTAAGTTTGAATATCATTCATGCCCATCCTGTTGGGTTTTATGTCTATATTTACTTTACATATATAATAATGAGATTTGCGTGTCTGTTCAGAATGGTCTCTTGACAAGACAAAACACTGGATTATCTCTGTGAAAGCAAGCAAGATAGTCCTTTTTCGACAAAACAGAGCAAGAAAATGTCAGGAGAGTCGTGAAAATTCACTTTATTACACAAAAAAAAGATATTATTTTTCAATATATCTGTTGTTTTTGCTTAGCTAGTAAAAAGGCCCACACAGAACTACCAGAAGCTTGTTTTTTCTTAGTGCCTTATATACGCGAATTTATGTAAAGTACGCTGGTGAATTTTTAGTTTTCTCGGAAACTATTTGATTATTCATCAATTTCTAAATTTTACACTCCAAAGTAATCAATTTCACTTCTGGCAGTGTTTTTTGCAATCCAATGTCTTTGAGCCCTCTCTGTAATTCAGTTTCATCGTCTCAATCCTCTCAAAACCTCGTCCTACCATGGGTTTCTTCTATCTTGGAAACTGAAAAAAGTCGCAGGAGGTCAAATCTGATGAATATGATGGCTGCGACNAGTGGTCTTTCAGGTCAGATGGTAAGAGTACGGCTCTGCCGAACTCTAAAAACCTGAAACGGTCCCCAGCGGGGCAGGTACAAAATATTTGCTTTGCTATTTCATCAACTAACAAAATTCAATATTTACGTACAAAGAATTTTCTAGCGTATAGAGGGTGTCCCATATGAAATTCCGCGGGCAGATATCTAAAAAACGAAAAAGAATATACATATTTCGTGAAAGCAGATAATTTTGGTGTCAAAGGGTCCTCTTATTTACGTAGAGACCCAGCACTAGACGTCATCCGTTAAGGCGTCGCGACACCGACGCCAATTATTTTAAACGGTAACCCAGTATTTTCAATTGGTTTTTGAATTCTGCATTAAATTCTGAATTAATCCATATAGCACACTCATAGTTTTCCTTGAAAACTGATGAAAAAATGCATTTTCATTGCGGATTATAAAGAGGGTCATGAATAAGTTAAAATAAATTCAATAATGTATTTATTAATCTGTCAGAAGACCTGTCAGATTTGACGAAAGTGAATTCAGTTATGTGTTGGTTTTTCGTAAAATTGAAAAATGGTTCAATTCTCATATGCAGAAAAGTTGGAATTCAAAAGAAGCAGTGAGAATATACGCTAATCGGTATCCTGACAGAAAATTACCGCCAGAAAAAACATTCGCTGACTTTGCCAAATCTTTAGCATGAAATGGATGTTTTAATGAACGGAATCGAAAAAAAATGGCTACTGATGAGAATCACAGTATTGCAGTGCTAGGTCAAATGGTGTTGGAACCATATAGTTCTACCAGACGAGTAGCAATGCATTGTAACATTTCGAAATCATCAACACAACGTATTTTGTCAAAAATCAAATTTCATCCATACAAAATACATTTGGTTCAAGGACTACATCCAGGTAATAATCTTCATGTTCCATTTTTAATAACCAAAATATATTCCCATATTCAGGAGATGATGATAGAAGATTGAACTTCATTTTATGGTTGTCCACCCATATTCATGATGATAATCAGTTTCTGAAAAAAATATTATGGAGTGATGAAGGCCGTTTCCATAACAACGTTATAATAAACTAACATAATTGTCATTATTGGTCTGTCGTGAACCCTCATTGGGTGCAAGAAACGAGATTTCAGTTTGTGTGGAGGGTTAATGTTTGGTGCGGAATCATTGATGGTTGTTTGATAGGACCTCATTTTTTCTAAGAAATTCTCAATAGGGAGAGGTACTTGGTTTTTCTACATGTGTTGCCGAATCTCTTGGAGAATTTTCCGATATAAACTCAACTGAATATGTGGTTTAAACAAGATGGGGCACCTCCACATAATAATAGAATAGTTACCCAATATTTGGATGATACTTTCAATGAGAAATGGATTGGAAATAAGAGTCCAGTTCCATGGCCAGCTCGAAGTCCAGATATCACTCCAGTAGATTTTTATGTGAGGATATTTCAAAGACTTAGTTTATATGCTACGTCCACAAAATATAGAGGATTTGGAAAATAGTATCACAAATGTGTGGGCATCCATAACGCGGGAGACGCTTTTAGCTGTCACGAATCTGGAATTACTAAAAAGACGCAATATGTGTATTCAACGTATTTGAGTGATTCTGGTTATCACTTATTGATTTCGTTATCATCATGTTAGTCGAGTTATGGTCAAAGTAACATATTCTTTGGTAATTTGAAACATTTATTTTAATTTGTACAGAAATACGCAACTAAATGAAATTAAACAGACAATGAAATCATAACTGATGGATTTATTTTATTAAACTCGTATTATTGCATTCATTTTGATTTATTCATAGTCCACTTTATGATATGCAAT